CCGGCCCCCGCCCCGCGCCCGGAGCCCCGGGCCGCCCGCCCAACACGCCCATGAATCCCAATGAAGCGGCCCTGGCACCTCAGAACGCTTCCCGCTTCGCAGCCCCAGGCCGGGCCCTGCTGGGTCCCTTCGGGCTGGGGGCGGCTGCCCCGGGGCTGAGCCCACCCGAGCTGCGGCGCCCGCGGGGCGCGCAGCTAAGCAGGCGCAACGGGGCTGAGGAGAAACGGGGCCATTTATCCGCCCGTCTAGTTAAAGCGGGTTATTTGTTTGCTTCTCTGGCCTCCCCCTCCCCTTCCCCTCCCCCTTCCCTCCCTCCCCTTCCTTCCCCTTCTGTCCTTTTATTCTTTTTGTCTACTAAATGGATTTAATGAGCCTAGAAAAACATGACAATTGAATATAACCAAGAAATAAAAATAACGAGGGAGGAAAGAAGGAGGAAAAGGAAAGAAGGAAAGAAGGAAGGGGAAGGATTAATAAGATAAAAGTCCATTCAATTCAGCAAATGTTTGTTGTGCGTCTTTTCTGCGCCAGGCCACTCTGGGGGCTGGGGACATGGAAACGAATCAGAGCCAGTTCCTGCCTTCAAGGAGCTCCCAGTCTAGTGGACGAGACCCGCCGCACCCCGGCGCAGATAGGAGTCTTGGGCCGAGGGGTAGGGAAGTGCCCTTTGCAGAGCTCGGGAAATGATTTCGGGCTCGGTGTAGCGGGGGCTTCACGGAGGAGGTGGCATTGGACCCAGGCCTTGAAAGACAAGGAGGAATTCGTTGTTTCTATAGGCCAGAGAGAAGGGCGGGCGGAAGGAAGGACCGGACTGTCACCGGAGGGAAGGGGAGAGAGGCGTTCATGGAGCCTCGTGAGGCCCGAAGAGAGCGCCCTGGGCTCTGGGTCCCAACACCGTTTGGGAAGCAGATTCGAGCCGCCCCACTGTCTTCTCGGCTGTGCTGTATGCGATGCCTCCGCCGGGCTGCTGGTGGGCTTCCGAAGTCCCGCCGACAGAGCGTGTTACCGTGGCGGCCCGATTCAGTCCGACCGAGCAGTGCGGTGCGGAGCTTGTTTCCTGACCCCACCGCGCAGGGAGGAGGCGGCGACCGAGGGCAAGGGCTGAGGGGCTTGACTGGAGGAGGGAGCAAGGAGCTGGGACCCAGGGAGGCCTGGGTTCTAGCCCACCCTATCCCAGGCAATCGTGGCTCTGATGAAAGCGACTACCTGCGCGCCGGCCCGGGAGCTGGGAGGGCCTTGGCCGCTCTTCGGACACTAAGGCGGGGACCTGCGATGTAGAGGGCCTCGTATCCAAGTGCCGGCACTGGTCTCTTAGCGGGCGCCGGCCGGGTCTGCCTCCGGTGCGGCTCTAGGTGGTGTGTGCACCAGTTGTGTGCGCTCCGTGGGAGCGGGGTGTGTGCGTTATGTGTGTTATTCTCCACATGTGAGTGTACATACAAGTGTGGCGTGGATCACGTGAGGGGCTGTGGGCCCTGAGCCTATTTTCGGGGCGAGGTTCGTTAAGGTTTGGGATCCTCTGCGCCACCTGCCCTGTGGCCGTGGCCGTGGCCGTGGCCGTGGCCGTAGTTTCTTTTACGCCTGGGGCCGTAACAGGCCTGCGTCCTATTATTCACTGCCTCTCTGCAGATCCACTTTCGGTTCCCGGCTGTAAAAGGGAAGCGGCCCGGCTTTGTCTCTTCCTTCCCGGTTGGGCCGGGGGCCTCGGTCCGGCTTGACAAGCCCCGGGACCCGGACGGGTTGGGCTCTCCCGGCCTGGGACCCCGCGGCGCGCGGACCGGCTGGGCCCCACCGCGCGATCTGGCTGGCTCGGCTTTCCCCGCTCCGCCTTCCCCGGCCCGGGGGCCTGGCGGGCTGCGCCGGGTGAGGCCAGGAGGCGCAGTTCCTTATTTTACGAGGTGTCGGGCCGGTGTCAGACGCAGCTCCGATAAGTAATACTCCAGTCTGAGGGACCAGAACGTGGTAATTAATCCCAAAGACTTAAGTGTATTTTAGTTCAGGAGAAAAAAAATCACTAATTCAATCGTCCGGAAAATTGAAGTTTGATGCATGAGTCCCCCCTGAAAGGGACGGGCTGGGGCCGCGCGCCTCCCCTCCGCCCCTGCCAGTCGCCGCGGGGAACCCCTCCTCCCCACCCTTCTGAGCCTCCAGGTCCAGGAAAATCCACTCACCCCGCCCTGCATGTCTCCAGCTGCGGGAACCCAGGGGCACCTTGACTTTGCTCCCTTCCCCAACAACCAACCCCTCTTGCTTGGGGCCCAGAAAGCAGTTTGTGGTGAGAATACAGCTGTTCCCCTCCAACACCCACACCTGGGAAGGGGCATAAGGAAGTGCAGGAGGTGTAGGGGAAATAACTAGATAAGGGGCCCAGAGTGGACAGGGTCAGGGGCTGCAAGACATGTGGGAGAGGGGATCTGGAACCTGAACAAACTGGGGTCATGAGGGTCAGCATGTTGGAAGCTGGGGTGGAGAGTACTGTGGCTGACTGTGGATGGTGTGAGTGGGGGTTAGAGCTGTGGGTGTGCTGGGTGGTGGTGATTGGGCTGTAGAACCATGGATGATTGGTTTGTGTGGGATAGGGGTGCTTCCCTAGACTGTGCATGTGTACGAATGACGTCTTGCGCAGAGGTTAGCAGGCCTGGGGGAGGTGGGACTCTGACCCCAAGTGGGTCCACAGGCTGTGTCGCCCATAGGAGAGCCTCCTGGAACTGGAGCAAAGGAATATGGGGGTCCTGGGCCTGGTGGCTGTGCATGAGGGGGGGCCAATACTCAGGATGGAAGAGAATTCCCAACCTGAGTTTCCCTGGGGCCCTATCTCTGTACTCCCAGATCCAGGGCTGCCATCAGCAACTCACCTTGTCTCCTCCTAACAGCTGCCAGTCCTGGGACAGACCTGGGGCAGAGGGTGTGTGTGTGTGTGTGTGTGTGGCCATGTTCTCCAGCATCAACAGGGTGTTTTACTGAGTGTGTCAGAGAGTGTGTGCAACTGAGAGACTGAGCATGTGCAGCTGATTGATGGAAATGGAGCAGGTGCAGCTGGGGGTGATTGGGGGTGTGCTGTTATGTGCGTGTAACGGATTGTTGCAAACTAGTGTGTGCGATTAGGTGTGACCAACTTTGTGCAATGGACAGAAAAGAAGTAAAGCTGTCGCTGGGGTGGGTGTGACCACGAGTGAGTGATGCCCCCGGGGTGTGTGATGTGTGCAGGGAGTGGATGTGAACAGATAACTGGGAGAATGAACATTGACGTGGAACTGAAGCTACAGACAACCAGGATCTTAGCTCCAAACAGCCTGACCAAACTGGCTACTCAAATTTACACTTTTGGGAGTGGGGGGGGGAGAGCACATGATCTCAAGGGAGGGGGGCTTATGAGAGGAGTGAGCAGAATGTGGGATGAAGAACCTCAGCCTGAGTATGAGTCTACTCTGAAGGCCACTGAGGCAGTGAGTAGACACTACACAGTCATGGACTCT